CAATCCTTATCTAGCAGATGAACAGTTATATGTTCTTTGGATCACATTTACTGTGAAAAAAATCCCAAACATCCTCAGTACAGTCATTCTGAGTCATTCACCTGCCCAAGACAAAATCTGGATCAGAGGAACTGGGAAAGTCGAGCTCACTACTGGATGGACACATGGGCTCTAATCATGACTCTGAAATAGCAGTCTTTTTTAAAAAGACCAGCAGTTCTGTGGGGAACTTCTAAATATTCAGGCAGCTGATAAATTGACAAAATCCTTGAAGTTCTTGCCTTTTTGTCTCTGCTTCATGGGTGCTTTATCCCAGAGACAGCAGTGAAAATGGTAAAATAGTCAGTGGGCTGCTGTGGACTTGGCAATGTATGGAATAAAATGTGGTGGTAGCAATAAAACACAGAGGTACGTGCACATCTGCTCTCTGCTCTGGGGCTGCACGAGGATGTGCTGAGGGCTCAGAAGGTTTTACTGGGCTGTTCCCAGCCAGGATGCTCAGGGAGAGAAATTCCAAATGGAAAACAAGTTTTTGTAGTTGAAACCTGTTATGTGCTTGCAAGTACACAGCTTCCAGCCTGAAGAAGGAGCTCTGGCTGTATCCAATTTTATATTTCCAAGGACTGAGGTCCCACCCACACAAGGAAGATTTTTTTTTCCTTTATCTTCCAACAGAATTTTGCCGTATTGCAATTTTCCACCCACCCTGTTGTCCTTTCACCTCCCATGAGTCTGGCTCCATTTCCCCCTGGATTCTCTCTCCAGAATTTAAAGATTTAACTGGACACTGCTTTTGTCTTCAGCTGCAGCACCCACCCAGCCTCTCGTGGCCCCTCCTGCCTTGCTCCCACTCTCCCTTCCCATTCCCGTGCCTGGGAGGTGCACAGCTGGACCAGATGTGGTCACACCTGGCTGGTCCAGGTAAAATCTCTCCCCTTGAGCTGGGGGTGGCACTGTCGCATGGCCCCTGTCCAGATGGGACATAGGAGCCACATCCTGCCTGCAGCCTGCAGCCCTTCCAGGGCAGGAGCAGGAGCAGCACCAAACCCAGAGGGGTGGGCAGTGTCCCCAGGGGGGCTGGCTCAGTGTCCCCAGGGGGATTGGTCAGTGTCCCCAGAGGGGTGGTCAGTGTCCCCAGGGGGATTGGCTCAGTGTCCCCAGGGGGATTGGCTCAGTGTCCCCAGGGGGGCTGGCCAGGCTCTGGCAGCTCCTCTGGAAGGTTCCAGGTGTCTGACAGACACACAGACACGTCTGAGTCACAGTGACTCACACTTGGTACAAAGATGAGCAACTCTTCATTCTGGAAGAAGAGCTTCATTAGCATAAAATGATTTTTTTATTGCTGTCACGAAAAGGGGGCTCATGAAAAAAGCAGGAAAGTCTTTTTACATAGGCCAGGACAAGGGGCAACAGCTTCGCTGTCCCCAGCACTCCAAGGCCACCACTGCCTGTGTCCCCAGGTGCCACATCCACAGAGCTGGAAATCCCTGCAGGGATGGGACTGCACAGCCTGTGCCAGGGCTGAGCAGCCCATTCAGTGATGAAATCTTCCCTAACACCCAGCCTAAACCTCCTGACACAGCCTGAGGCTGTTTCCTCTCATTCCCTGGGAGAAGGGACCAGCACTCTGACAACCTGTTCTATGCTGCCTGTCCTGTGAGTGGAAGATGAACTGAGGGGGCAGGGGCTCCCTGGGCCAAACTCTGATTGCCACAGCCTGGGGCAAGCCTGGCTTTGGTTAGACCTGGCCCAGAGCTGGCAGCAGGATGCTCAGAGTCTGTACCACAGCAGTGAAATGAAGCACAGCTACAGCCTGGAAAATACTGAGGACAATATTTAAGGACAGAGTACAAGCAGGGTGTTTGGGTTTGTGTTTATGCCAGCCCAGGAACAGGACTGGCCACGGGGAACAGGACTGGCCATGGGGAACAGGACTGGCCACGGGGAACAGGACTGGCCACAGGGAACATGACTGGCCCTATGGAACAGGACTGGCCATGGGGAACAGGACTGGCCACGGGGAACAGGACTGGCCACGGGGAACAGGACTGGCCACAGGGAACAGGACTGGCCATGGGGAACAGGGCTGGCCATGGGGAACAGGACTGGCCATGGGGAACAGGGCTGGCCATGGGGAACAGGACTGGCCACGGGGAACAGGACTGGCCCTATGGAACAGGACTGGCCACGGGGAACAGGACTGGCCACGGGGAACAGGGCTGGCCATGGGGAACAGGACTGGCCACGGGGAACAGGACTGGCCATGGGGAACAGGACTGGCCCTATGGAACAGGACTGGCCACAGGGAACAGGACTGGCCATGGGGAACAGGGCTGGCTCTATGGAACAGGACTGGCCACGGGGAACAGGACTGGCCACAGGGAACAGGGCTGGCCATGGGGAACAGGACTGGCCATGGGGAACAGGGCTGGCTCTATGGAACAGGACTGGCTCCCCAAGGGAGGCTCTGGGACTGGCATCCCATGGTGCATCCCCAGCCCAAATGAAGGCTGAGGATTTGATTTCACCACAGCCCTGATCTCTCAATCCAAGCCCCGGCAGGACTGAGGTGGAAGTGGGTTTGCATTCATTTGCTGCAGCAGCATCCCGGGATCCCAGTGCCATCCCAGTGCCATCCCAGTGCCATCCCAGTGCCATCCCAGTGCCATCCCATGCCACCCCATGACGTCCCCAGCCCCCATGGCTCCCTCCAGGCCGTGCCCATCCTGCCCTTGCTCCCTGGATCCACAGGGGCCGTTCTGGGGGTGCTGTGCTGGCAGCCCCAGCTGAGTTTAAAGGTGTTTATTGATCCCCAGGGTGCTGTGCACTCGCTTCTCCTCCCACCCCAGGAAATCACTCTTCTCTTCTTCCCTAAAGGATCAGGGCTCACGACAGGGCACACATCCCCGAGACAAACCTACAGCAAAACCCCAGCCCAGGCTCCCCCCACACACAAAGCTCTGCTGTGCTTTATAGCAGTTTCTGTATGAATTAAACCCAAATGCAGGGTTTACAGAATCCCAGAATGGCTGGGGTTGGAGGGGGCTGTAGAGATCCTCTCTGACCTGATGCAACTCAAACACTGGGACCAAGACTTAGGTTTGTTTTTTACCCCAGAACTCTGCAGCTGGTGTGTTTTACAGGGAAATGGTGAAATGCTGTAAATGTGCTGGTTTAAGTGTTGTGGCATCAGTCTCCTCCTCCCTGACAGCTTCTCTGGCTCTGCTGGAGCCTTTGCACAGAAATTTTTCAAGGTCAAGAGCCAACTGAAACTCGACAGGTTTTGGAGCTGACATAGTTGGGTTTGTTTTTAAATCTGGGGTTTGTAGCAGGACGAGGAATTTCTCTCTGTTTTTTGCTTTGCACTCCAGCCCTTTCTCATTTCCAAGGCACCACTTTGGTGACAGTGCTCCTCACCATGGACATGGCTGCCCCTGTCTTTAACCCTTTTATTTGGGGGTGAAAGTGAGGCACACCATGAACAGTGATCCCTGCACTGAGGCAGAGGGGGTGAACCTGCTGAGATCTCAGATTGCAGCTGAGGTCTAGAAAATGAGACTTTTACCATTAAAAAAACTTAATCCCTTTAGCTTGTAAAATGAGGCTTGATACACCATAGGCAAATCACTGAATTCATTTTTGCTGCTCAGAATGGGAATAAGTGCCACTCAAAATGGGAACAAATACTGTCCCTCTGCCTTCATAACCTGGCAGATCTCTGGACCTGCAAAGCCTCTGGGTGTCCTGCTGGGTGACTGTGGGGATGAATTTCGACTGGAACATTAATTGCAGCCATTAAACAAGCAATAAGGTGATAATGAATTAAATACACGTTGCTGTAGAGAAAACAAGGAGTTCTACCTGTGGCTGCCACTGGAAGCAGCCCTGGCTGAGGTGGGTGGCACCTGCTGGTGTCTCACATCCAGGCTTGCACAGGGTCGTCCTTTCACTTCTGATTTCTTCACAAAACAACAATGCCATGTGTTACCTCCGAGCAACGAGAAACGAAGCTCTGAAAGAAAAGCCTCGTATTCCATCTCAGAGTGGCATTCGATTTTTTGGGGCTATTTTTAGAGAGTAACGTGCTCAGTCACATGGCTCAGTGCATCAGGCTGCCCTGCCCAGCTCTGCTCTGGGGGACCTTGCTCTGGCACCTCCAGCTGCTACTCCAAACTGATGCCCAAGGGAGTTTTAAGCTCCAGGAAAGCAGCTATTCTGGAGGATTTAGGATTTAGGATTTGGTAACAACAATTTGTTTCATTCAGTGATTCTTTTGAGGATGGTTTTTCACTGACACGTTTGCTCAAAGTAAGGTCAAATGATACACCTAAGGAATAAAGACACCCCATGAATGCTGAAGTGCACCACTTGGTTTTATTTCTCTACTATTCCTTTTGGAGATTTTTCAATACTATGAATTTTAATGAAGAATAAATCTCTAAGATGAATTTCATTATACAGGTGTCATTCAGAAGAACACACTCATTATATGTCTTTCCACCCGACTCTGGGTTTATTGTCACACCACAGTGGAACTCCACCTACCTCCTCCCTGTAGGGGATTTATATGGGAAGTTTCAGCTGAATATGAGGAAAAATTCTTTTACTTTGTGGGTGATGGAGCACTGGAGCAGCTGCCCAAGGAGGTTGTGGAGTCAAAACCCAGCTGGCAGTGATCCTGTGTCACCTGCTCTGCAGGGGGGTCAGAGGAGCTGAGCTCGGGGGGTCCCTTTCCACCCCAGCTACTCCATGAGTGTGGGATTTCCCAGAGGTCACATACCTGGGGTCGGTTCTCATTGCTTTGGTCACTCTCCTTCCGTTGCCAATCAGAGATCCTGATTTTTGCCTTTACCTGGCATTCTGCACAAACCTGGGGAGAGTGATGTGAGGATGTTGCTTGCGTGTTCTGTATTTGACTGGGGTGGCAGCCTTGGGGTGCTGCTTGAAAGAGCTGAAAGAGAATTGGGGGTGGGGGGGCTTGGAGCCCCATTTGGGGTCCATCATCCCCGCGCGGGTGGTCTCAGCACGCGGCTCCCGGGCCCGGTGAACACCTTGAGCGCCCTGTCCCTGATCTGCCGCGTCCTCACCCCGTACACGATGGGGTTGAGCAGCGGGGGCAGCAGCACGTACAGGTTGGCCAGCACGATGTGCACGTCGGGGGCGATGCCGCGGCCGAAGCGCTGCGCCAGCGCGGCGAAGGCGGCGGGGACGTAGAACAGGAGCAGCACGCACAGGTGAGAGCCGCAGGTGTGCAGCGCCTTGCTGCGGGCAGGCCGCGACGGCAGCCGGCACACGGCCAGCAGGATGAAGGCGTAGGAGACGGCGATGAGGAGCAGGTCCAGCGCGCCCAGGGCGAAGGGCAGCAGCAGCCCGTACCACGCGTCGGCGCGCACGTCGGCGCAGGCCAGGCGGGCGATGGCCATGTGCTCGCAGTAGGTGTGCGCGATGGCGCGGGGCCCGCAGAAGCGCAGACGCCGCAGCAGCAGCACGCACGGCAGGATGGCACCGAGCCCCCTGAGCACGGCTGCCAGCCCCGCGCGGGCCACCGCCCGCACGCTCAGCACGGCCCCGTAGCGCAGCGGGAAGCAGATGGCCACGAAGCGGTCGAAGGCCATGGCCAGCAGGATCACCGACTCCACCAGGCAGGCGAAGTGCAGGAAGAACATCTGGGTCAGGCAGGCGCCGAAGGAAATCTCCCCGGCTCGGAACCAGAACAGAGCCAGCGCCCTGGGCACGGCCGTGGTGGACAGCGTGAGGTCAGCCAGGGCCAGCAGGCACAGCAGCAGGTACATGGGCTGGTGCAGGCTGGGCTCGGCCCACACCGTCAGCAGCAGCGCCCCGTTGGCCAGCACGGCTGCCAGGTACAGGCAGCAGAACGGGACGGAGATCCAGACGTGCAGCTGCTCCATGCCGGGGATCCCGGTCAGGATGAACGTGTCTGGGGCCAGGCTGCTCACGTTGGACATGCTCACCTCAAAGCCAAGGCACGGGATTCTACAGGACGGTACCGGAGGTGCTTGAGCTCTTCCGGCAGCACCAAATGCCTCCTGTCACCTGCTCTGGTCTGCACAGAGCCACAGCCAGAGGCACAAGCCCCATTACAAACCCATTTACAAACCCATTTACAAACCCTTTTACAAGCCCCGTTTACAAACCCCGGGTCTGCACTGTGCTGCAGGGTGTAGAGGCACAAACCCCATTAGAAACCCATTTACAAACCCCATTTACAAACCCCATTACAAAGCCCAGCTCTGCACTGTGCTGCAGGGTGTAGAGGCACAAACCCCATTTACAAACCCCATTTACAAACCCCATTACAAAGCCCAGCTCTGTGCAGGGTGTCCTTACACCCTGTTACGTGTCAAAACCAACATCCAGGTCTCCTCCTCGTTTATTTTAACACAGCACTTACACGCTTTTCTTCCAAGTGCTTCCACTTGAGGCGGAGTGGCTGGAGGCAGACCCAGCTCTTGCTGCAGGAGTGCTGTGATATTTCTGTGTTCCTGAGCCCAGAGAAGAAGGAAGAAGCCGGGCAATGAGGGAGGAATGGTCAAGTGCTTGCAGGGAGGAACGAGACGTTCTCAGGCACCGAGGATGGGGAGTTCTGGGCTCACACTAGAATAGAGAACAAAATTAACTCCAGGTTTGAAGTTGGCTGCCCACGTTCCTTATCTCCAAACTTCTCTCTGCCTCCCCGTTTAGCTCTGAGACCCAGTTCCATTTGTTTTGCAGCATTTTTCAGAGCAAATCTAGCAGAACTAAAATTTAACCAGGCAGTTGGAAAGACCTTTGTGTCAGAGGAAAAAGCCTGTGTGAGATGGAATTCTCCCTCCAGCCAAAGGAAGGGAGGTGCTGCTGCCCTGGAGAGCCCTGGAGTGCCCCAGAGGCTGAATCAGACCCAGCCACACCAATTAAGATGGGATGTGACTGTTTTCAGCAGCTTCTGTGTTAACACTCAAGTCTTACCTCTCAAAACTCAAACCATGAGGAATTATCCATAACACAGGAGGAAGTGATGTAACTGCTGAAAAACTGTGATGTTGTTGCACACCAAAATATTGACTCCGTGCTTGGAAAAGCTACTCTGTCTTCAGCAACATATTGGATTCCCTCTTCTCACTTAATTTCATGTCTAAAATATCCTGAACCAGAAAGTGTCCAGGAAAGGACAATATGAAAGTGGATCATCTTTAAAAATATAATTAATCAAAATAATACCTGATTCTATACTACTAATAATGAGGACTATTATACAACAATAACTATTATTCTCTAATAATAACAACCAATTTTGTAATTTTTAAAAAGCAGTTCAGGATAAATATTACATGAAACAAAACCAGATGTGAGGTGTTAACAGAAAAAATATTACTAGTGCTGGAAGCTGGCAGCTGTGCTGCCATGCCAACAGCTCAGCCTCTCTGGCAAAATGCAAATATTAAACTGCAAATAAACAGGGATCCAGTGGGAATCTCAGTGCACCCAGGAGCTCTGCACCAAAGGACTCTTTCAGCTTCAGATCCCTTCTTCCAGAATCGACCAGATCCTTTCCTCCACGATCCATCCTCACTATAAAACTCTGTTAATACACGTTTTAATGCAGCTCTAGGGATGCAGCTCGCACAGTTTTGCCCAAGCGGCTCCTTGGATTTCCCTTCCCTAAAATCTTTCCATTTTGCCTTAAAGCAATTACCCAGATCCCAAACTCCATCCCCCGCTGCCCGCCCCGGGACGGCCCCGCAGAGCTCCGGGGATGCTGGGGAGGGTTTGGGGCTGGAGCCCCGACCCCGGGCAGCCCCCGCAGATCAGCGCCCCTGGGGGAGCTCAGGCCGGAGGAGGACGGGGATCCTCACTCGAGGGTGAAATCGCCTTTCCCTGGCAGGGAGGGCTCGGCGCTGGCCGGGGGCGAGCGGGCGGTGCTGGGGCGGTGGTCCAGGGGCGAGCGGGC